CATCAGCCAGCTTAAAGTTTCAAGAGAAAAGTCGCCTAAGACAAGCGTCAGTGGGGATGGATCGGGATCCAAAAGTCGCGATGGCGAAGAGTTTACGGCCTGGGGAAGAAGACCATGGTTGGGACAACGTCGGTCGGCTGGGAAAGGAGGTATAACACTAATTTGAGTGCCGGTGTCGACTAAAAACGCCTGCTCAACCGCCATCACACGATCGGCCACATCCGCAAGTTTCGAGTTGTATAATCATTTGAGCTGGGGGTCAAGACTCTTTTCATCGGTTTTGGCGGACGTTCTAAGAAAAGCTCATTAAAGAACTTATCGCCAACGAATATGTTTCCAACAAGAGAACGAACACAACACAGGAGTTCCGACGATTTGCGGTCACCTAAAGTCTCTTCTTTTACCCCGTCGCGTGATAACGTCGGATATTTGAGGCTGAAGTCGGGCGAAGACGTTCTGCCTTTAACATCATAAAGGGAGCATCAGTAGGGAGATCACGCAAAAATGTCTGCATTTGAGAAAGAATGGTAGGAGGAAGAGCCTCGACCAAGTTATAATACATGACGGTTTCCCCTGTTAACTTTACAGTGTGAAACGCTGCCTTAGTACGGAAAAAATACAGTTCTGACGGATGTTACCAGAGGTCCGAGAGGGACAAAACAAATCCACTGAGAGAAGAGGCGGCATCTTTAGAATCCGAAGAGGGCATAATGGTGGAGAGAAACAAGGAGGACCATGCAGCAAATCGAAGTTAGCAGATAAAAGGCGTAAGCGTGAACACAGAGTCACCGCTGTTGCAAACACTAAGGACGCGATTGCCAGTCCCAGATATTGGATAGTAGGAGAAGACAGGAGTGATGAAAAAATTGATAATTTAATGTCAAACGACAAGCGTGTCGCTCTGAGCCGAATTTCTTCCATTCAGCTAAACAAACAGTAAGTTCAAGAGTGGTGAACAGGTGGGTAAATGCAAGATAGTCTGGCGCTTCGACACACCTCTGCAAGTGCTGACCTCGCCTGAACACCAGTTATCTCCCCTCCAACTCGGAAATATGGTCAGGCGTTGATGGCGAACAATTTACCATCAGACGTGCAATTTATTTTGGCACACTCTTCTGACATTTATTCGGCTGCACAACTCACGCAGATTGACAAGCGGTTGATGAAGATGCGCGTTTTCGTCAAGCCTTTCCGTTGTCGCACCGCAGCTCCCATCTTGAACTTGAGGTCCAGAGAATTCCTCCATATCGACCTAGCGCAGCTACCGCTTTCTGGTGCCATACCGCATTCGGTGACGAAGCTTGTCGCTGCATCCGTCCCTGATCTTTCTTTCACCTTGAGGCAGAACCAACGGATGAAACATGCCAGCACAATGACCAGTGCAGTTAATATCCCAGGCTTCTCTGGCTCTGGTCAATCATGCTGTCTGCGACAGTCTGACTCGCAGAAGTTTCCTCATGGACACTGGGGGCCAGAGTGGCGTGCGACCTCTCACTCCAGTCGAAAACCGCTGCCCCAGCACTGGTCTCCACCTCCAAGTTACCAAGTGTTTCCCATCCTCACATTTAACGGTCTGTCTCTCTTCCTGAGCATTGGCCTTCATCGGTCGTTCTCCTGGATCTTCGTGATTGCTAATGTCCCCATATAATCCTCGGCTCGAACAACCTGATCGAGTTTGATCGCCCGCCCACTGAGCTGTTGACGTGTCCGACAGTTTGGCTATATGATTAACCTCTCTGTTGGCGGGTTGACTCCGTTCACAACCTCCTGTAACTTATCTGTCCTAGATACAGATGTGGATTGTCCTTGTCGAGAGTTCCTCCACCAACATTCGAACATCAACAACCACCACTTTCAACGTCGCGAACTCCAACACGATGTGTTGCACCACATTCGCACCTCATGTCCTCCTGTGTTCGCTCGACCTAGACTAATTTCGTCGGTCCGACTGCGGGACGCGAAGGCGAAGTTTGATCGGCGGCTGCAATTGGGCATCATTCTACCGTTCGATAGCCCCTGGGCGTCCCCTATGCACATGGTTCCTAAGATGGCATCAGGCGACTGGCAACTCTATGACAATTGCCATGCCCTCAAATACACCACCATTTCCGATCGGTACTCAGTGCTTCATTGGCTAGATCGCAGTTGGTAGACAGGAATGGTCAGGCGAACGGCGACCTTAACCCTAACCCTAACTTTAACCTCAAACCTAAACGTTAACTGTTAACCCTAACTTCTTTCCTTACCCTAAACATAACTGAAATCGTAAACGTAACCGTAGCCCTTAGACATAGCCGTAACTGAAAGACCTAACCGTAATACTGAGTCCTAATTTTACTCTGAAACCCTAACTGTAACCGGAAAACCTAAGCCTAAAGGCATAACCCTAAGAACCCGCAACCATTATCCGGTACCCTAATTCTAACTTCAGACGTAAAATGGAAGCCAAATGGGTCA